TTATCTACAACACGTGCCGACACGCCATACCTGCCGTTCCCATTAAACTGGCGGAAAACCCCGGAATACAGGCCATCGTTAGCCACTTTATCGGCGCCCAAACCATTATCCCGGAGCCGCACCACCAGTGGATCGCCTGTAGGCCTGTCCACGAGTGCCAACACATCCGCGCAGATGACATAGTTGTACCGTTTGGTTACTTCTGCCGTAATGACCGCCGTTGTGGTTACCTTATGGTCCGGACCCTTACCGGTGGCCGTGAATGGTGTGTCAATCCATGCCCTGACCTTCACGGGCTCGTCCACCCGGGACTCACTGGTAACGGATAGGTATGCTATTGCAGTGTCTTGCTTGTTGTCCCGGTTGATGCGCTCAAAGCCAACTGTCCATTTACCTGATGGTCAAAAAATTAAAATAAAAAAATTGTATTATGATTTACTCCATAAAGTTTGTAAATATAATATTGAAATAATTACTTAAAATTATAAACAATTTATATGACATTTCTTTACAAACTGTAATGATTTTTATTTGTATTATGTTTCATTAACTGGTTTTGGATTTTAATGTTAAATGGCCACCAATCGAAAGAAATCATTTTTTTTGCATGTTTTAAATTTGCGAGATTTTAAGTTTAAAAATTTTATAATATTGTATAGTGCATGATGGTAAAATATATTTGTAGTAAAAAACTAATTTTCTATCCTTCAAAGCATACCCTCGTCGGCCATCGGTATAGCGAACGCCGCTCTCATCTCCAGCGGCCGATACACCGCTCGATCGCCGCCCAAACCATAGACCCGGCCGTCGGGCGCCTTAAGCGTCACATTCAGACTCTCGATATCATCGCTGGTGACCACAAACCGTGTGTTTCGGCCCAACTCTCGCGGCACCGGCACTACCGATGCGTTCTTCAGCTTTTGTATGAGCACTCGGTTGTGGTAGAAGAGCACTGGACTCGCGATAGACACGTGACTTTGCAATAACGTCGACTCAAATGGGCGGCTATCGGTGCCCACCACTAGCCTATCATATGTGGGCTCCGGTAGGCGTACGTAACCAAAATGTACGGCCGCTATATTAGACACGGGGCCCACATTCCCGGCCTCGTCGGCAGCCCTGACCGCGAAATAAAAGCTCATTTTGGGCCCCAATTCCCGGGCCGTACGACTTGTCCTACCCTTTGCAGCAGTCAGTAGTGGTTCCGGGACTTTAAACTTGGCTGACATGGGGTGCCGGCTCTCAGGTGGCGGCTGCAGAGTGCCGGCCACTAACCAGCGTTCGTCCACCGGTTCGTTGGCTTCAAATAACGCAAACTTATGAAAAGTTTTTGGCGTCAGAGACACCCGGAGCTCTACTTTGTGCGCTCGTCCGGTGTACACGTCATCGCCCGGTGCGGTCCACCGGAGCTCCACAACCCGTTACAATCAGGTAGTCAGCATTACTTTTGTATTATGTTTAAAATGTTTAATATTTAATTTCAATTTTTTAAACTAATAAAAAATTTTAATGAATTTTAATTCACAATATTATTAATTAATTATGGATTGAGTTGAATTGTGAGTAAAAATAATTTGATAAATATTTTTACCATTATTAAATGAAACTTTATTAAAGTCTAATACAAACTGTAAAATCTACTTTTTTATGAAATAATTATGATGTTGATTTGAATTGTGTTTTAAATGGGGCTTATCTATGAAACTAAGTTTTTAATTGTTTGAATTTGTTAAATATTATATTTAAACTAATTTTAATTTACAGTAAAATTAAATAATTTAAAAATTAAATTCGCTAATTATGGTAAATAAATCAGTCGGGGCCACCCTTACATGCGCCCCATTGTAATGACCGCCGCCCACCACCGACTCGTACCCGTCCCTAATGTGTGGATGAATGAAAGCATTGACTGTTAAGCCAATCATACATTTTATTGTTTGACTGAATGTCTGTTTCCTATATAAATTGAGTGAAAGTTTAAATTAAATATAAATTTAATTAAAATAAATTGAATTTTGAATTAAATTCAGATTTGAACAAAACTTTTGTTTCCGTTTTTTCTTTTAAATTGGTTGTATTTAAAAATATTAAATTACATATTATCGTTGAAATGAACTAATTTAGCATTTCTAACGCAACTTATTTGTGAATGTATAAATTTTAAATGCAATGCAATTATAACTCACTGTCAAATGAATTGAAACAAAAACTTATGAAATGCATTAGAATATTAAAATTACATTATGATCATTATATTCAAGCCATGAATATGTTACATATCATATGTATGTATATAATATGCACTGATTATAAATTTACAACAAATGCTCGTGAACTTATAAATTATGGCAGAATTAATCACTTTTATTAATCAATCAATTAAATTAAAAATCAAATCTTATTTTACAAATAACAAACAAAATACAAACTTAAAATACATATTAAATTGCAAATTACATTACCTCATACAGTGTTAGGGGCCTAACGACGGGCCAAATTATATGGATTTTTATTATTGTTGTCAATCGAGTAATCGATCTCGATCGTTTTAATTGGCTTTAATTTTTTATTTGACTTTAACGAGTGGGTCGAGTAGGTTGAGAGGGGCGGACCCGGCGATCGGGGTCGGGGCGAACGGGTTTGTAGTGTAGAGTATGACCGGTTGTGTTGGTCGGGAACGTAGTCGTCGTTATCGTAGCCCAAGTGATACGATTTTGGCTGCGATTTGTTTGACTTGAGTGTCCCCTCGGGATAGCCTTTGTTTAGTGAATTGCGGGACCCGTACCGTGAGTTCGGGGCCGTCCAGTCGGCCCGATATGGGTCGTAGTCGTCGACTGTCTCGTCCGGTTCCTGTTCAACGATCTAGGTGAAATAAAATAATCACATTTGAAATTAATCATATTTAAAATAATGTTATCAAACTCAAGTGTGATAACTGTAACGTTAATGTAAACTTATACTAAAATAACTTAATGAGGGTATTTTTAATTCTATTGGTACTGCTTAGACATGACATACAGTATAAAATTTTTGGGTTTAATTAAAATTATATATTTGATTATTCAGTGTAACAAGTTTATTTTAGTTTAGTGACTAAACTTTAGTCTAATATAGTTTATCGATACAGCACTATGTGATGTATTTATTCATTTTTAAATTTAATTTAATTGAAACCTTACCTCAGTTTTAATACATCGGCAACTAAGCGATGAGCACATGAACATGTTCAACAATAACATTAATAGTAATAACACGGCCAACACTATGCACAGGGTAATTAACCATGGGAATCTCCATTCAGTACACTCGGACAAATTTTCGTGGGTAACTAAATAAACAGATTTATTAATAATTTTACGTCAAAAATTTGACCCTGGTTAAATAAATTCTGTTATAAATTAAATTGAGTTTTACTCACGTGAATCATCTGTTGGCTCGAAAACAAACATCGAGGTGGAGGCTGACAGTTGTGAATACCCATCAAGAGCCAAATCCCTACCCTTATAACCGGGTGAGTCGCACACCGGCTCCTGACAGCCGCCCCGACACAGTATAGCGTCGCACTGTATGTTCAGTTTATTAGTGTCCGGGTATTTAAACATCTCATACAATACGGCTTCGGCTGTATGTGTGGTGTTGTAGTTAAAAGGGGAGATCAAAGCGTCGGCTGCCGGCGCCGGACACCCGTACGCGTCGATCAGTTGGACCTGATCTCCAGCGCCCGTGTCGTCAGTGAACGCAAAACAGTTTTTTATACGTAAAGATGTTATGCCTGTATAGATAAGGGATAGATGTATAAAATAGATTATGGTTAATTTAGTATTGATTTATCAACATGATCAGTGTTTTTAATTTTATATACAATTTAATAAAGTATGTAAATGTTCTTTGCTTATGCATATTTTATAATAAATATATATCGCTATGTAAAAATATTATTGTTCACTTGCCCTGAATTTTATGTGTTTTATAGACTGTGGCGCGATTAAACGAACATGATCGACACAATATCCGCCCAGAAATCAAGTTGGTTGCCGTCACCAGAGAACTATTCTTTAATCCTGGTCTCTCAAAATAGGACATGGTCATATTTTGATAAATAATAATTGTGATAGATTTTATTAACATAAACAGAATGTATATTTAAGTTTATTAAACCAATCTAATAAAGAATATTACGTGAATTAAAATCTTTTAATATATTTAATGTCTTAATCTGTAGTGAATTCATAATAGGAAAACATTTGTAAATAATTGTGTATTTGTTGATCTCATTATAACTAATGTATTGATTCATTGATAGATTAATTGAAAACATAGTCTGAAGACATTAGTGGTTCACAAGTGAGACAATGGTTTCCACTCTCATAGCAATCGCAAGAGTAATGACAGTCGTGTGAACTCCGGGACTCATAACGTATGACCAAACGGTCAGCGCAAACCCAGAGCCGACAGCACCGGGCGGTGAATGCGTTGATAATGTAATGGAAAAATATGGCAACGAAAACACCAACTATCAAATCACTGGTTACAAGTGTGCGCTTAACTGTACGGCATATGAGGTTAAGTTATCAATAAATTTATAATTTTGCATTTATTTGCCATTAATTTTTAATTTTTGAAAATAATTACTGAATGTGCTTTAACAAATATAATTAAACAATTTAAATCATAGTTAACTTGATGTGAATATTGTATGTTATACGACAAATGATCCAACGGATGGCGACAATCAATGTCTGAATGCTTGAGAGTGTGATTGTCTTCAGTACTGACATAACAATCAAAAATATAAACTATTAATTTGATTTTCTAACTCAAATAGTGTGCAAGAACAATTTTACAATTTTGACATCAATTAAAAATATCTAATTTCACAATTAATTAATTAATTAAAAATGCTTTGATAAAAGGACATTATTATAAAATTTTATTTTAAGTTAATTAACCTCATTTTAATAATAGGAATAATAACTTACCCTATTACATTTTAATAAATTGAACTACACTACATATATAATAGTGTAATTACTGGTGTTAATGTTTAATTATTTTGTTGTCATAATTGTAAATTAATTTATATTTATATTTTAGAAAATTCACTACTGTTTTTGTTGCCTAATAATTTGTTTGAAATAATCATAAATAAATTTTACGTAAGATATAGGGATTTGAGACATAATTGCTTTTTTCATCCGTGAGATTATATTAGCATTTATTTTGTTATTATTTTTACCAAAAATCTCATTAAATTCATTCATTATATCCTTTATATCTCGTGTTCTCTCTTCTGATCTCTCGAGTAATCCATCGATAAATGTTTGGATTTGATCGACATTTACACCAAAATTATCCCAAATAAATGACTTGTAATCAATGTGTTTATAACCCATTCTATAAAAGTAAATTTAGTTATAAAATATATTTATAATTAATATAATTTATCTATATAGTAAATATTAATACTCATGCGATAATTGTATTTCAAACAATTTCTTGACAATAAATCCAATTGTATAGATTTTTTCGTCTGTAAATGTTTTACCATTAAATACAGAATCATCATATTCATTTAAATATACTTTCATATAGTTGTTGCTTATTATATTATCAGTGAAAATAAATATATTTTTGGTTTTAAGTTTAATGTAATCAATATTTATATTCAAAGCAATCAATGATTGAATACAATGTAATAATTGTCTCAACAATTGCTGTGAAATCAGGAAATCAATTGAAAGCATTGCCAACGAGTGATGGCTTTGTGTCCCAAATATCGCTTGTTTTGCATTTATGACATCCCATAGAGTTAGCGAACAAAACTCCATTTGAATGTAAATCTCGTTCTTTACAATCCAAGAGTTATATATTTGTAGTAAATATTGTGGCTTTTTTGCAACTATTTTCCTAATATTCACACACTTTTGTCTAATATTGAAATAACCTATGAATTAAAATTATTATTAATTTTTAGATCATTAAATATAAATTTTAAAATCGAAATTGTAGATTATAATTTTTTAAAATAAATAACTATAAAATAAACAAAGTTTTTATTTATTGGATATAATTATTAAAAATGAAACATGTTTGTAAATTTATGTAAAAATTTATGTTTAAAATTATTTTAATCTTTATGCTTAGAATCAAAATATAATTTGGTTGCTCATAGTAAATTGTAACGCATTCTATAATACATGGTGAACTTAAATTATTTTAATTTACTTACTTAAATTCATTATATAATAGTAATTGTTGTTTTTAATAATCTGTGTTTTGACCAATTCAAAATATGTATTCTTTAGGGTGATTGGTAGGAGAGTTGGATCAATATCTATAATGAAATAATAATAAATTTGATTATAAAAATCTATTATTTAACTATTAATAATATCTACATTATTATTTACCATATTCACTTGCTTGACAAATACTAACTATTTTAACGCATTTATAATAATAATGGAAAAATAATACGAATTTATTATTAATTATATTATTAAATAATAAATCGTTTTTCGCAACAATCGGTTTAATTGATAAAAGTTTTAATTTGTTTAAAATTATTTCACATTTGGGTCTTTGTCTCCAATCAGTCGATCCATGCGTTGAATATTTATTAGCACTCATTTCAAGCAATAATTTATTTATGTCAATTACCCTATTATGTTGATTAATACTAATATTGTTTTGTAATTCTAAATCCAATCTAAAAATATTATTATAATTAATTTATTATTATCATCATTGTTATATAAATAGATTATTTTTTCATAACATACTTTCCACTTTCAATATCTCTTGTATTGAACCCAAAAAGTTGTGCCCCAATGAGTGCCAGACTATAGACATCTATTAAATGGTTGTATTCAGTGGTCTGTCCTTCGGGTGCCATATATTCAACATTTCCGACATC